GAGCGCCACATAGATACCAGGTGACATAGATACTTTATTATGGTATAGTATTTAAATGTATGCCTGAGAAACACATAATATTGCCTCTAAGAAAATAGGCGTACAACACACAAATATAAAAACAGATAGAAATCTGACTAAACCTATTTCAAAATGGTCACTTTGATTAAAAAAACGTATTGAAGTAAAATCAACAAAGTGCATTAGGTAGGCATACATTTCAACCCCTTCGGATGTTTACCTGTATAACGAGCCGCAAAAATCCTAAATCTTTGAAAAAAAAAATGGTATTAATCACACGTGTGGGGGTTGAAGGCGGACAGTCAGCTACAGCAAAATCAGAAGGAAAGGAGGATGGCTGAACTCCTTTCTAGCAATAGAGTGGGTATGGATATTTGAAGTTATTGTTTTAACGTTGTCATGGACTAATAATTTCTGTATCACCTTGACACTGACCACTGTTCATATCTCGTGATATCTTCCAGACGTCAGCATCAAGTTGACCTATTTTCACGTATCAGGATGAGGCAGGTTGTGATTGGTTGTTCATTATCACATGATGTTAGCTGACAGTATATCATTGCTTGGCAGCCTATGACGTGCGGGCCCACATCCAACAGACTTCCTGATTGTTTTCTGTTCTGTGTCTGCCCATTAATAAATGACTTTACGAACATACCCGCAAGACTTTTTGTCTTTTTTAACACCCTTTTGCCGTGTTTCTGCCCATCTTGCCCCGAGTTTCCTCCACAAACGTCCTACAGGCTCCGACGTTAAATAAATTTGAAACTGAGTGTTTGAAAAAAATCTGCACAACATGAAAAAATCTGCGAGATTGCTCTATACATCCGTACACAAACCTGCAAAATGATGGAAAATCTGTGTATCTAGCATTGAATTAGAGACCTCTTTGCACTACTTAGACCACTGCCTGACTTTGAGCAGTCAAAGGAGAAGAATTCTTGGGGACCCCTTTATGGATCCTGAGACCTTCAGAACACCGAGTGTTAATAACTTTGTGTTCTTCAATCGAGTGACGAGAAGGTTTGAATAAAGACCGGTGTTTTTTTGGGGGGACCGTAATGGGCCCACTTACGAGTCCCCTACTCACATGGGTTCTTTATCCATCCCCAGTCACCATCGTACCACTGGCTGTCTTTAAAACTCTTTAAAGCTCTCTTTTCTTTGGTTTTTTACACTTTGCAAGAAGGTGTTATTTATTTTAAACGGGACAATTTTTGTAGCTAATTTTGTAATTGTATTTTTTATTTTGTTTATTTGGATTTAAGGCATTTTACTGTTTTAATTATCTCACAGATGTTTTTGACTAAATRTTATRTTTCAYGAGGTGTGTTTAAATGTTGATTCTGTGCAGCACTTTGGTCTGCTCTGGTGCATAAAGTGCTTTTCAAAATTAAATTGGAAATGTACAAATGTTACGTATAAAGTGTTTATTAATACATATATTTTTGCTTACGTTTTGTTTTTAATACAAACTTTCAGAAACTTTATTTAACATTTGATTAAGAAAAATAAAATACAATAACTTTAATTTTAAAATCACAAGAAAACATTAAAATGGCGCAACCTTGCCGTTTTTTCTAGACATCTAAAAAGACAGAAATATATTACAATCAGTGTTTTTGTTTAACTGAAGGTTAATTAAGGACATGTGCTGAGGGTGCGGGACTTTTGAGGTTTATGATTTGCTGGAATGTTTTATGGAATGACATGTCTTTGTCAACTACTGTAAACAGCTAGTCGAATAAAATCTCGTTTACATTATAAAACCATTCTRAATCTTGTTATAGCACATGAAAATGCTTTTGAATTTCAAACAGCTGAATGATTAAAATCCAGCAGGCTCACAGCTTCCAGCAGCACAAACATGATGTGGAGGATTCATCAGGGCCTCCCTTTTGTAACCGAGTCACAACTTCTGTGCCGGTCTCTCTGTTTCTGTTCGTCCAGCAAGGCTCTGTTCAGCAGACCCAACAGCTCCGGAGCCTCCTCCACCCCCCTTGGCAGGAAGAGTTCCAGAGAGCCAGCTGAAGTGTGGGGCAGTTTGATKTCAACAGAGTCTGSGTYCTGAAAACAATAATTCAAAATTAGGAAAAACAGGACACAGATACTGTGTTTGCCTCTAAAAGCAGAGGTGGTCAGTAAAAATCATACTTTTTACTACACTTCTCTAAAGGCATTAGAGTACCACTTTTACAATAAGGCTCCCCTTTTAGAGGGCTTTTAAATAGTTTATGGATTGGTTACTAATTAATCTGTAAACACTTAATAAATTCTTATAAATAGTGTACTGTTTTACACTTTACAATAAGGCTCCCCTTTTAGAGGGCTTTTAAATAGTTTATGGATTGGTTACTAATTAATCTGTAAACACTTAATAAATTCTTATAAATAGTGTACTGTTTTACACTTTACAATAAGGCTTCTTTTGATAGTTGTGGATATGTACAAT